GAATGGCTGGAATCTATTAAGTCTGAAGTGGTATGAAGTGGTTTTATGGACCTTTAAATACTTAAAATCCATTTATTTAACTGAAATAATGGTTCTGGTTATTCCTTTGTGCTGTACAGTCTCAGTGTTAATCTAGTCATCTGTTCTAGTTCATTATTTGAATTTTTTTGTCAGATTACTGGTTTCAAAAGCAGAGCTGTTTTAGTAGTTGCACTAAACTTTCCCCATAATCCTATTTGCTGTTCCATTGGGATGTTGATATAAAACTGTAACGGGAAGGAACGGCTCAGTGACAGCTTTTAACAGATCTCTTCATGCAAATCTGCTTTTCCCTCCTATGTAAATGTTAGGAGGAAGTGTAGTAGATATATAAGCTGTTAAAAATAACCAACTGGATTTTCTGGCTTTGTAAGGCTTATACTCACTATTTTACCTTTGTACTTCCTGGAGGTGAGTTGGATGAACAGGCAGGTTGAATGAGGTGCGTTAGAACTAGCTCCTGGTTTGACAGAGCATTTGGGGCAGCGACTCGTAGTGGAGCTGAGAAACCTGGCAGATTCCCTGCTGTTAAAGTCGAGGCATTCCCTCCCCTCCTGCTAGACCTTTGGCTGTCTCGGAGCTGGTCTGGGAGCACAGGCCAGTAGGCCCTGGAGGGAGGCAGTGGGAATCAGGATTATTTCTTTAGCCCACAGCTTCATGGGGAATGTGCCTCCACTAGCTGTTAGGCCCTTTTTCATTGCTTGGGAACCATTGATGAGCAGACCAAACATCGCTTATCTTGTTGTTGCTCTGATAAAATATTGTGGCTTTTGGATAGGTCTTGGTGTGATTTTTGTTTGCTCTTGTTTTTATTTTCTAACCAAAACATACAGGTAATGGCTGTATATTGTCATAACAAGCGATTTTTTGTTTGTTTGTTTTTTGAACTGTCACCAGTTGAACAGAATCTGCTATTTCCAGAGACAGTATAACTTTAACTTACACCAAATGGACATGTGTGTTTAACAGCCTCCACTTTATCTTTAGAATATGTTTTAACAGCATTAATAATAAAAATATATTAATGTAGCTTTTTTCTTACAGAAATGACTGCTGTTACTGCAGGCAACGTTAACTTCAAATGGGACCCCAAAAGCTTGGAGATAAGAACACTGGCGGTTGAAAGACTACTTGAGCCTCTTGTTACACAGGTAGGATAAAAAAAAAAGGGGGGGACAGAAAAAAACCTTTCTAAGGATGACTACCTGTTTTGATTTATCATTTCAATTAAGTAACTTTCAAAGCTTAAATCCCAGAAGTAAAATGACTGCAAAACTCAAGATGGAAACAGTGTTGAAGTGATTCTGTTGTTCAGTTTTAGCGTAACAGTTCCTGGGCATGGGTCTACAAAGACCGTGCTGCCTCAGTGCCTGATGGGGCACGGTATTTCAATTAGAAGCGCAGAAATGCGTGTTAGTAGCTAATGCTGCACTGCTGCTGTGCTGTTTCCCTCCGGTGTTTTGGGTGGTATGCTGCTTTGTTGTTGAGTCTTTAAAAAGCTGTGCTATGTGTCGTTTAGAAACTGGTATTCAGGAAGGACAAAAGTCCCCTGCAACAAAGCCATTAGTGTGTGCCAGAAGTAGGGTCTCAAGCTTTTTATTTCTCTTTGAGATTACCTGTGTTTAGAGTTCCCTTTGGAAGGAGGTTCAGGTGCAGTGAAATGCATGGTGAGGCTTGTTTGTAACCCATCTAGAACAGCCTTATGCTATAAATAGATTACTGACCTGTTCCACCCGAGAAGTATGCTTTATGGCGTTTGTTTCGGTGTATCTTTTACAAGATATGGATACTTTTCATTTCTGCCTATGTTAGATTTGTGAATAAAAGTGAATTTCTGCATGGTGTATATTGCTCAGTGAAATGCACTGAAGAATGTAGGAAAGCTAGAGTAGGTCTTGTAAATGTAAGCTGTGCGTATTGGGCGTTCTGAAGATTCTTGGAAGAGACTTTCTAGGAGCTCTGGAAGAGAAGGTGTGCTGGAGACAGTTAACTCCTCTTCTTTAGCATTGTTTTCCTGAAATATGAAATTTTTTAAAATGATAGCATGAACTGGACGCAGCTCCTGCTAAGCGCAAACTGCAGCAATCAAGTTCTGTTTCCGCTTTTAACATCCCGTTAATCGCCAAGCTGCTGTCCGTACCTGCCATTTGCTCCCTTCAGGTATTCAGGTGGGCATGATGATCTACTGTGTAGCTTTTTAGTCTTTCTTTAAGTGAAATTGCCCTAATTTGGTGAACTTGATGGAGCAAACCTGTTTATAGGACCCTTCTGTGCAAGTTCAGTGCCTATAATTTATTCCTCAGCACAGTAGGCTGTACTGGTAGTCCTGAGTTTTGTGAGTGATGTGACTGGCATAATACAGAGAGGAAATTAGAGTAAGTTGCCTTGTTGCCACTTGGTCGTTATTTGTAGTACATGATGAATGGATGCTACCCAGTAGAAATGCTACCCATTAACTGGCAGTGTTATTCCCATCTGATGGCTTTTCCTCTCTGAATCAACCTACTGAGAAGATGGATTCAGCTCTGAGGACCTTTATGTCAGCAGTCCCTGGGCTTTCCAGAGTAGTAATATTTTTAGTGTTGTAATTTAATGTCCCTCTCAAGTAGCTTTGTATGCATCTTCCTAGACTTAACAAAAAGAGGGGGGGAAGGCAAAGGCAAATGGAAAAAGTGTGCATGGATTTTGGGACATCTGTCTGCATTTGATTAAAGGGCATAAATCCTGAGCTAATGGAGTACCTTGTGGTCACCCAGCTGCTGGTGACCAGCTCCAAGCAGGGTTTTAAACTAAAATTTAAAAATTTAAAGTATTTGTTGTTTGTGAGAGAACTGTGAGAGTTCAGTTTTAGTTGTTTTAGGGAAATAATGAGCTCTAGGATGTCTTTCAGTCTGCGTTTAATCCATTGGCTGTAGTACTGTTGTGGACTGAAGTGATACTGTGTTGCTAGATAATGGGTTCAGCCTTGTTTGGGGTCTCTTGTGCCTGGAGAGCTATCCCCAGCTACTTATCCTCAACTTGGTTTCTTTTTATGAGATGCCAAGTAGCTCTGGCCTGTTACTGAGACTGCAGTTTATCAAAAAATACAAATAGATCTCAGTTCTTAAAATCAAATTTTCAGGTCTGCTGCTGATAAGAACAATCTCTAAGCAGTTTAGCTGAATTTATAATGCTCAGCTGAGGAATCAAGAAGCATGGTAATGTTTAAAGAGATGTGAAAAACACTTGTTTGAGTTTAATGTTTGGAGCTGGCACTAGTGCGGGTGTTTGCGATATGCTGTCTAGAAAAAATACATGTGGCCTTGCTGTCAAATTGATGAACTCCTAATCTGTGTCATGTTTTTTGGTTTTTTCCCCTCCATCTGTGCCTTTAGGTAACAACACTGGTTAACACTAGCAACAAGGGCCCCTCTAATAAAAAGCGAGGGCGTTCTAAAAAGGCCCATGTTTTGGCTGCTTCAGTTGAACAAGCCACAGAGAATTTCCTGGAGAAAGGAGACAAGATTGCGAAAGAGAGCCAGTTCCTTAAAGAGGAGCTGGTAGCAGCTGTGGAAGATGTTCGTAAGCAAGGTAAGAGCTGTGTCTCTGATCTCGTAAAAACCAGTTTTACAAGCTTAAGCAGAACTGTTCCTATTTCCTTTTTGCTGTTAGTTCTACTGACTTAGCACCTCTCCACGTGCATAGCTTCTTGCCTTGTCCTGCTGCCTTCCTTGGGGAATAATGTGAACTGGGCAGATGTGGAAATGGGATGTGCCAAGTGGAGATTGAGAAGCAGAAGGGCTGATTCTTTGAAGAGTGTTTAAAACTCAGTTTAGACTAAGAAGTCAACCCACCCCCCTCCCGTGGTGTATAAATGTTATGGAACTACATCTCAGATGTGTCTAACTTCAGTATTCAAATATGTACAAAACAGCATTGGAGGAGGAAGAGCTGAGTGTCGCCTTGACAGAGCTGGGTGTCTCGAATATGCAGAATGTAAACAGCAACAAACAGAATGCAAAGACCTTGATTAAATATTCCAGGCTTCCTCCTCCACATCTAGTGTCGATTTTTATCAGTTTCTTTTTCACTGTCATGGAGAAGACCTGCAAGAAAAGCCAATGGAGCTGGCTTACTCGAAAATATGCACTAGTAAATATTGTTGCTCATAAATCATTTATCATTCTTCCAGTCATGAGCCTTTTCTATGCTTCAGTGAAACCCAGTCAACTGGTAATAATGGTGGCGGCTGCTGCTGCTGCAAAAAAGGAAAACTCATTAGCATTAATTACTTGTTTGTAGCTGAAGTTGCATGGTGATGAAATATTAGTCGAAAATGGTTCGAAGTTCTGGACGAGCCTGGTTGACAGACCAAGGAAAGATCAACATAAGGCAGCTGCAATATAAGGGGCTAATTGGGTTGGCTTAATTTAACAACAACAAACAAAGAGACCCCTTTGTCTTGAAGCCTTTAATTCTTGGTGCTTGCGTGATTGCTGCTCAGAATTGAGTCAGAGCTCATCTATGAGTACCTTCAAAGGACTCGGTGATACTCGTGAGTGAGGGAGCTGTACTCAGTCCTTGGGACTGAGAAGGGTCCATTAGCTGAACGTGTAGCTGCATATTGCAGTGAGAAGCTGTAGGAAGAAGAGGCTGATGTAAAAAACCTTCGGGATGACCCTTTCACTTGTTCCTTGGCCCCTGCTTGATTTTGAGACTACGCATAGACTTGATGCCAAACCCTGCCTGCTCTGCTGATCTTTGACAGAGAGGTGTTCATAGCTGAGAGGTGCTGGAGTGAAATAACTTCCCACCTTCATGTCGTTTCACTTCTTCCTCCCTTTTTACTGTTTGCAGCTTGCATGAAATCCAGTGCATAGAGACAATAGCTGTGTGTTTTCTGCAGCTGGGCGGGCGATGACTAGACTTTAGTGATTCGCCTGAATCCGGCTGGTGCCCACTGCTGTTTGTGGGGATGCAGTCGACAGGGCTGCGCTGCTGGGGCAGCACAACCAGCGATAAAAGCCCGTGTCCCGTCATGCTGCCAGTGTTTGGTCAGGTTTAGCAGAGCAGCTCTGACGAAGGAAATTAAAAACCCAACCAACCTTTGAGGAAATTAGAAGCAAATGGTGAAAAATGAGATACAGCAGCAGGAAGGCTTATTGCTGCCAATGCCCAGGGGAGGATCGCGGTTCTCAGTAGTGCTAATAACTTCAAGGAGATAAACACGTATGAGTGTTTGTGTGTACAGTCTACGTGCTTTGGAAAAGTTTCCAGTATTGTGGTGGACCAGTTGAAATCACGAACTGGAGGAGTGAGGGAAGTATAATGCAAAGCCCGTGCGTGTGCTTAGCAAAACTTCAAGTGTTGGTGTCTTTATCTGCCTTTAGCAACTGGGCAAGAGTGGAGAGGAGGATCTGGGCGTCTGGGTCAACAGCGCAGTGGTCATGAACTGGCAGCATTGGTGTGTCTGATGGCAGCAGTGGGATTATAGATGTACAGCACAATTTATCTTCAGCAGAAGACAGGAAAATAGAATTAATAATGCCTCTATTTAGAGTAGGGAGCGGTTTAGTTACCATAATAAAAAAAGATGAATGAATGTAGGCAGAGGTTATGAAGATGATTAGGACAATAGATAACTTGTCTCATCAGAGAAAATTAAAATTTTTTTTTAGCCTAGCAAGAAGAAGATTAAGAGGGTACATGATTTTAGTGAGCACGCTTGTTCATAAAATCCCATTTGTTGGGGGTAAAAACAAAGAAGTGAAAAGAGCTATTTAGAATGAATGATAGTGTGGCTACATACTAAATCAATATAAGTGGATCTTTAAAGTCTTCCTGATTTTTACAATGGAAGAATAAATTACAACTTGCTTTAAATATTAAACAAGTTCATGAAATACCCTAAAGTAAGATTACTGGTCCTTTAAAGCTTTGGACTTCTGACTTCTTTTAAAGTAGTGAAACTTCTTAAAATAAATTTTTGAATGCAACAGTGGAGACAAAGAACCAGTGTTTTTCAGAACAGATTCTGCTGTGGTCATAGGAAAGATGTAGTGCTGGGAAAATGTCTGATGTGAATGGATTTCAGCATCCTTAGAGCAGTTGTTTCACTGATTTCCACCACTGGCGTTTTGCTGGGTAATAGAGGGGGTGATACTGGTCTTGCCCAGCCTCACTCCCATCACAGTAAGCTCTTGATAGGGTTTTACTTCTTAGGAAGCACTGAAGGATGTCAAAATGGTTGGCTCTTCTGGTGCTGTCAGGAGGTGTTTGGAACTGAATCAGTTTTACCCAGGTGTTTGGCCCTGAGATAGGTTGCAGACTCTGGGATCAGGAAGGAAATTCCTTTCAGGTCAGGCTGACCAGGCTATTCCTGTTGTTCTGGGGTACTGATGACCATAGTTCGGTGCCCCTGTAGATCTGTATGCTAGTGTGAGGATCCAGGGCGTTAGCTATGCTCCTACTGGTGTGTCTTCCTATGGTAACTTTACATAAAAGACCAAAAAGTAAAGCTTAAAATGAAGAAGTGTAAGCCTGTGCATAGGGTTTCAGGTCAGGCTGACGAGGCTATTCCTGTTTTTCTGGGGTACTGATGACCATAGTTCGGTGCCCCTGTAGATCTGTATGCTAGTGTGAGGATCCAGGGCGTTAGCTATGCTCCTACTGGTGTGTCTTCCTATGGTAACTTTACATAAAAGACCAAAAAGTAAAGCTTAAAATGAAGAAGTGTAAGCCTGTGCATAGGGTTTGAGGGAAGAGGATGGATGAATGGCCTAGTGAATCCTCTGGACTTTGATTGTGTTTCATGGTTGGAAACGCAGGGGGGTGAACCCACTGACTCAGCATGGTGTCTCTCCGTCCTGCATTTGAGGGAAGCTTTCTCTGAAACCACACTGCGGCAGATTATGAAAGGGTGAAACGTTTTTTTCAGGTGTACTTCACATAAGATGCATGGTTTAAGGATTTCCAAGGAACAGGAGGAGGCCAGTTGTGAAGAACTTGAAGATAAACACTGAATTCTTGGAAAATTCAACTTTAAAATTCTGTTATGACCAGTTACCTTAATTTCTTGGAAGGGTGCAAAGAGTTCTCAGTTGTTCCCTGCAAGAAAAATGTTTGAGGAGTGTACCACTTGTATTATTAGAAGTAATCTTCCAGCCAGGAACTTGAGAACTTTGAAAAGCCATACCCAAGGGAGCTCTGAGACAGCTCTTGGCAAACTGCAGGAGGAGTGTTGTGGGCAGTGTATGGATTTAATTGAAGACATGATTAAGGAATTAACAGAAGCTTTTGTTGCCATGAGTATCAGCTGCTATGTTGAAATGACAAAAGAAGACTTGGGCCTTGTCCTATATAGTAGAAAGCAAGGGCAGCCTGCTGTGCCACTGGTGGTGGATGCTGACAGTGGCATTAGTGGTAGGATGGGACTTCAAAATCCAGAATAGTAGGGTTTTGAAACTCTGATTTCAGCTTGCCTTCCTTTAGTGGGGAATAGACAGCCCTAGGGAGCCGTGTGGTAGGGCATTGAGAGCAGGTAGAGGCATGGCCTGATGGCACTATTTCTAATATAACCAGCAAAGCAGACTGGAGACAAGCTTTGTACTGGAATTGAAGGTGCTGAAGGGTACATGGTGATGTGTGGGCACGAATTTCTAGCTTGGGGGGAAAAGCAGCAGTGCTTATGTGTGTCTTAGGGCTTCCCTGCCTTGCCTTGGCCTGGCTTCTCTGCCGCTTTCCTGCTCCGTCAGTGTTCGTATGAAGCAAGCCCTCTCTGTCATGGTCATCCTGTACCATGCTGCTGAGGAGGATTAATAGTGCTGTCTGAAAGTGCTGTCAGCCCCTCTGGGCATGGTGGGAATGAGACTAGAAAATGGTAATTTTCTTCTGATGGACTAAAATCTTACTATTTCTGAAATGGGCTTTGTTCCATTAGATTTAATTGAATTCTTAGTGCTTTATTGACAAGATCATAGTATGGCTACTGTTGCCTCTTCTTTTCTCAACTCTGTTTTATTATCTTTCCCTTGTAATATCTAGTGAAAATCTAAGGTTATATTGGAAAAACAGATTACTCATATAAGAATTCATACCAGCTGTATAATCTGAGTCTCATAGTCTCACTCTTCTGCAGTGTATTTCTTTTTAACTCTTGAAGTCCTGCTTTCAAACTTGCTGTGTTACCTCTGGTTCAGATTTGAAGACGGAAGGATTATGCTGGATCCAGCTTCAACTCCTAATACGCACACATAATGCAGTAACACACCCAGGATTGCACCTGGGTCGGGGCAATCCCAAGCACAAGTACAGGCTGGGTGGAGAGTGGACAGAGAGCAGCCGTGAGGAGAAGGACTGGGGGATGCTGGTGGACGAAAAGCTGGCCATGAGCCGGCCGTGGGCGCTGGCAGCCCAGAAAGCCAACCGTATCCTGGGCTGCATCAGGAGAAGTGTGGCCAGCAGGTCGAGGGAGGGGATTCTGCCCCTCTGCTCTGGTGAGACCCCACCTGGAGTGCTGCGTCCAGCTGTGGAGCCCTCAATATCAGAAGGATATAGACCACTTGGAGCGAGTCCAGAGGAGGCCACAGAGATGCTCCAAGGGCTGGAGCCCCTCTGCTATGGGGACAGGCTGAGAGAGTTGGGCTTATTCAGCCTGGAGAAGAGAAGGCTCCGGGGAGACCTTATAGCACCTTCCAGTACCTGAAGGGGCTACAAGGAAGCTGGGGGGGGACTTTTTACAAGGGCCTGTAGTGACAGGACAAGGGGTAACGGGTTTAAATGGGAAGTGGTGGGGTTTGGATTAGATATCAGGAAGAAGTTCTTCCCGCAGAGGGTGGGGAGGCACTGGGACAGGTTGCCCAGAGAAGCTGTGGATGCCCCATCCCTGGAAGTGTCCAAGGCCAGGCTGGATGAGGCTTGGAGCAACCTGGTCTAGTGGAAGGTGTCCCTGCCCATGGCAAGGGGGTTGGAACAGATGATCTTTAAGGTCCCTTCCAACCCAAACCATTCTGTGATTCTAACATACTTAGGCTGGGGCAGAGTTGCCTCTTACCCTTTGAGTCTAGCTAAAATAACTACCCCACGTTTTTTCATTGTACAAGAAGTCTGAAAGCCAGCTTTCCTTAATATGCAGGAAAAAAATAAATATATGCAACAGCTTTAAATACAGTCTTCCTTTAATTCTGGGAAGCTGGTTATCTTTTGACACCCTGACAAGCTGTTTGAAACTCACATAATCACTGAAAGCCTCTTCTTTAAAATAAAAACGAATAGCATTTTATTTCAGGACTGTCTCTTAAGTTTGCAGTTTAAGAGATGGCTAGAGGATAACTTTGATTTTTAACCTTGTTAGCAATCTCTGAGTTTCAGATGAAGTGAGTGGCCACCTCTCTAAGTTGTTTTAAATAGGAAATAAATGAAAACAACATTTATTTGGGAGTTGGAAATGTAGGAATTTTACATATAAATAAATCAGGGAGGAAGTATCTGTAGTGAATTTTGGTTCTGGCATATATCCTTAAATCCCGAGACTGTTGATAGTTTTCATACTTGTGGTAGTGAATTAATGTCACCATTATTAGCCTCTTCAAGAAGGAATAAAGAAAGGGCCATGTCTGCTATGTAGGGGTTTTATAATCTCAGGGCTGGCTGCAGTTTTTCAGCAGTGGAGATAGATCATCTTTCACCCATCTGGAAATCTGCGGCTCTTTACACTCGTTAAAATAATGAGTTGTGTTCCTCAAAGTTGGGTAAGGGATAGCTTTAGATTGATATTTATAGCTGGTCTGTACTTGGACAGAAGCTTTTTTTCATATGTCACAGTACTGAAGTAGCATATTTTTAATCTTAAAATGTTGTATGCCACTCTTCGTCGTATTATTTAAGATGATGGAAGGGTGTTACATAGGAGGGAGCATTTGAACAAAAACTGAGTGTTTTGATGTAGTTGCTTGGACAGGCTGGCAGCTGTGTTTGGGCTGTATTTAGCTATGAAGGTGTAGAGTGCTTGAGTACTAGAAACTCTTCCAGGGCTAGACATTAATTGCTTGCCACTAAGTGTAGGGATGGTTAACCCCGAGCTCTCCAGTTGTAGGCATTTTTGAGTGGTTTTAAAAAGTTGTGAAAGCGGAAAGCTGAAACCCTCCCTGTGCTGGGGTTCTGCTGTGCTGGTTGCCTAGCTGTGGGAGCAGGAGAGCCCTTGGCAGGACGATGCTCCTGCATCGTCTTCAGATTTTGCTGCAGACTTCCCCCAGCTCTGTTTGGTAGTGGGCTCGGTGGGAGTCGCTGTCAGCTGGCACTTGTGAAGCACTGTTTGAGGTTCTTGTCTTCTTATCTGAGACATGCTATTTTTGTTATGGCATTTGGCCATATGGATGTGTTTTTGTAGCAGTTTTGGGAAGCCTCTGACACAGCAGTTACAGCACAACTCGTCTGCTTTCTGGTCACTTCCAGCTGCCTGCAAATCCTTGGCCTTGAGCACCTAGCATTTTCTAAATGAAGTCCTAGCTGTTCATCAAGTATTTCTGAAATACAGAGAAATCCAAGAACAATTTGCGGATTCCAAAACTTGCTGCTGTGTAGAAACTGTGGTACTGGAACCAAAATCCTGCCCTAGAAAAGGGAGGGGAGAAATGCAAAATTTACTCCTCTGACTATTTGCAGACATTACTTTTATGCTTTCTGAATGCCTTCTGGAGGAATTTCTGTAGCTGTGTAAAGTGGCCTTTGCTTTTCATAGTTAACCAATGGCATTGTTACCATCTGAAACCCAAATTCTTTCCTGCACCAGATGCAGACCCGTAGGCTACGAAACACTGAAGCATTTTACTGAGCTGTGCCTCGCTTTGAATGCGAACCAGGGCATATCCAGCCAGGTCATCGCTCCGAGTTGTTTACAGTCCTATGAGCTGTGGCGCTTCCTTGTGTGTTTACAGTACTTTCTGCTGCTTTCTGTTTAACTCCTCCACGAACACAAATCAAAGCTTTTGCTTAAGCTTTGAAAGCATTGTAGTTTCTGAAATAACTGCAGCCCTGCACGTAAGAGCGAAGGCATACTGCCTTTCCAGAGGGCATTCTGGCATGTTAAAACACTTGTACAATGGGAAATGGGGACCAAAGTGTTATTTCCCAGCCCTTCTACCCTGTACCAGCCCCTCTACCCTGATACCATGCAGTAACTACGTAGAGGTAGCTACATGCAGTGTTAATTGCTGGCCGTGTTTAAGCAAACGTATTTTGTTTTCAAGACTTGTGTTGGCTTGCCCAGGAATCCTCGCAGCCCCTTAAGAAATGCTGAGTAATGTTAAGTCGGTCTATCCTCTCCCCTTGTGCAGGTGACCTGATGAAGAGTGCGTCGGGGGAGTTTGCAGATGACCCCTGCTCCTCTGTGAAACGAGGGAACATGGTCCGAGCGGCACGCGCCCTCCTCTCTGCCGTTACTCGACTGCTGATTTTGGCTGACATGGCAGATGTTTACAAGCTGCTTGTTCAACTTAAAGTAGTAAGTGTAATTCTTGCTGTGGATCTCTGTGCCTGGCAAGCCAGGCATGCTCTGCCAAGTGGCTTTTTCCTGCCTGTGTGCTGACCCTGGTGTGTGCTCTGTCAGCGGCTCGCTTCTGGAGCAGGGAGGTTTTGAGGGTTTTTCCTCTGAGCAAAACATGTTCAGTGGATGTTTGTCACTTGTGTTGGCTCTGATCATCTTTTGACATTGTGTTGTGCTTTATTCTGAACTTTTAGTACTGAAACTAAATGCACTATGGTCTGCAACTGCAGGTGTTAACCAGCTTTTTTCATCTTTAGTAATCTGGCTTTCTTAGAACCAGTACTCCCTTGTAGCTACTAGGGATGAGTAGCTTTGGTAGACTAAATAAAATGAATATGGAATATTTGAGGAAGCCTCCTCTTCCCACAAGCAAGAGGGTGGGTGGGTGGTTTGCACAGGATTTGAAATGAAATGAGAGTCAATACTGGGCCTGCTTTTGCACAGGACTTTGAGGACTGTCCTCATGCCCTTCGACAGCCACTGCCACATCCCTACCAGGGCCCTGGGCTCCTTCACGCTTGTTCAAATGTGTGTACTTGGCTGTCTCTGGTAGCTGGCAACTATGAAGTAGTAGCTAAGTACTGAGCCTTTGAAGTATCTCTCTCCAAAAAATAAAAGGGGGCAGAGGAAGGTTGCTTTCTCTGTCTACTGTGAAGATCATTCTGAATTATGTCCTGAACTGTGGATTCTGTATTACTTGGAAAAATATGTGAATATATATTCTTTTTAGGTGGAAGAAGGTATCTTGAAGCTGAGAAATGCTGGCACAGAGCAGGATTTGGGTATCCAATACAAAGCCCTCAAACCAGAAGTGGACAAGCTTAACATAATGGCAGCCAAAAGACAACAGGTATTGTGGTGGCAGCTCTTCTGTATATTACTACTTCTTTTTCAGACACAAGGCAGCCTTGCTGCTCTTGACCAGTACCTTTTGCTGCTAATACTTTTTTTTACTTTTAGTGCAGGGTACTTTGTGTTGCACTCTGCTGTGATTGGGAAATTTGAGCTTGCTGGTAAGCAGAAAGTCTGCTCAGCTGTAGCCTGCTGCTTCAGATAGAATTTCTTCTAGTAGTGTTTGTTTATGGTAATGCTTTAGTACGTTAATGAAATCCCGCTTCCCAAGGCTTGCGCTTCCCATTTTGGGGCAGTGCAGGTGTGGGTAAGGAGGGAGAATTGAGATGTGACCCAATGCCTGGTGCACTCACCACTAGACCTTATTGCCTCTGTGGTTTGCACAGATGGCCTGAACGTCTCCGTTTGAACAGGGAGCAAAAGTCATGCTGGGCACAGAAGTACAACTCTTTCTTGGAAAGTGAGTGGCGATGCTGGTTAGTCTTGCACTGAAATGCCGCTTGAGAAGGGGTTTAACATCGCATTTGTTATGTGTATGCTCCGTGTTTGGATAGCTTGTGCTTAACCTTAAATTGTGTGTAAAATTTGTTTTGTTTAACAGCACTGTTGTGACTCATTCCTGTGTAGGTAAGCTTTCAAAAGAAAGAAGAGGTGTGGGCAGTCCCTTTTATCTGAAATAGCATAATTCTTGTAGAGCACTTCTTGTTTGTTTTTGTTCTGCTGATAGGTACAAACCAAAACTGCTTGTGCACCTCTGACACTGCTTGGGGTTGTGTGTGTTTGGTGTGGGTTTTTTTTTTTCCCCCACAGATTCGTCTTTGAATATAAACTTAGTGTTCAGTCAAAAATGGATTGCCAGTTGGCTATGTATCTACAATCTGATTGCAGTAAACGGGAGTAGGGTTGTGATGGCAGTGCAGTAAATGCTGTTATACTGCTTTGTGATGGATTGTTCCACGCTGTGGGAAGTGGTTGTACCAAATCTGTAAATCTGTAAGCCTGCTTGGAGTGCCCTCCCTGCTTACTGCGTATCTCGCAGAGGTCACATATTACCCATTCATTCTGAAGAGTCTGTCAGATTGTGTTTTTTTTCATTTTCTCAGGCAGTCCTCTTCATTTTCATCACCTCTTTGGTAGATTTAGTAGGTAACTTTAAAATTATGATACAGCTAATAACAGTGTTTGTTCATTTTATAAACTTACTGCTCGTGCTGGACTTGGAAGCCTTATCTAATCGTAGTGCTTCTACTCTAAAACAGAGGTGATGGTGCTTGAGGGAATTTCAGCACTGAGTGTTTGGGAAAAGACAAATGGACTTGTTCGCTAATCTTAAATTAGCGTTAATTACAGTCATTGGATTAATTTTGTCTCACTCAACTTCTTGTTCATCTCCAATGAGATGATATACTTGCTCTTCTAAAATTAAGTACCTGGGTCTCTTGAGGAGAGTAAACTGCATCTTCAAGGTGTGATTAAAGGAAACATTCTGGTTGTGAGTCTTAGAGTTGAAATTAAAGGAGATCTTGCTTCTTGTGTGCAGGCGCAAGACAAGATTGCAGGGGAAGCTTCCTGTTCATTTGATAGCTAAATAGCTTCGTTCTTAAGTAATCTGAAAATGGAAGGTCTTCTGTTCTGAAGATTTAGGTTTCTTTGTGTGTGGTTTTTTTTTTTTTTAAATGTAATGCAAACTGGAAGGAGTGGAGAGAAAACAGTGTGCTCCTGACTTCTGTGTCCTGCTGATTTACTGGTGTTACCAGCTTACAAAATACTGACCCTCTCCTGTGGAGAGGAGGAAACATCCAACTTCAGATTTTTGAATTGTGGATTGGTGAATTGCCCTTCAGTGCTTTTTTCTTTTTTTTTTTTTGTCTTTACGAAGCTGTTGTGTTTTGAAATTAGTTGAGCCCTCAAGAATGGCGATGCTCGGTCAGAAGAGAGTTGGATTAGGGCATACCAGGCAAAGAACCTGCCTGCCTTTTGAAGGTGCAGGGAGAGAGTGTATGGATGTTAAATGTGGAGAACGTTCTCAACCCCCTTTTTTTTTTTTATTTAATTTTCCTAACAGGAGTTGAAAGATGTGGGTCACCGTGATCAGATGGCAGCAGCAAGAGGCATTCTGCAGAAGAACGTTCCCATTCTTTATACGGCGTCCCAGGCCTGTCTGCAGCACCCTGATGTAGCCGCTTACAAAGCGAACAGGGACTTGATCTACAAACAGCTTCAGCAGGCGGTCACGGGCATCTCCAACGCAGCGCAAGCCACTGCATCGGATGATGCTGCCCAGCAGCAGGGTGGAGGCGGAGAGCTGGCTTATGCTCTGAACAACTTTGATGTAAGTTTTGAACCCTTTATGTAAAAACAAAGCAAAAAAAAAAAGGCAAAAACCCCCTCTCCAACTCCTGTTTTCATTCACCTGATTTACTAGTAACAGCTTGCTTTTATTTATATTGCATGAAAGATCATTTTCTACCAAAATGCAGCAAGTCCCAGGTAAAGTAGGCTTTTATTTTTAAAAAGTCCTTCTCTGAACTAGGATTGATGGAATATAGAGTTATGTATGCAGTTCTTGGTGATTGAAGGCTGTCAAGTTTAAACTAGCTCTGAAATAGCAGTTAGCCTACTGCTACATTAGATGTAAGCCCTTGGTTTATTTGAAATTGATTATTTCATAATATATTTATGTCATGTATTCTTGTAGGTGACAGAAATGACTTATTAAAACTGAATAATGTATTTGGAATTGCCCAAACTACCTATTGAGGGGAACATGAAGTGGGAAGCTTAATACGATCTTTGGTGGGAATGGAGTTGTTTCCCACTGATATGTTGTACTGATCTGTCATAGTCTCTATCTTGTATTCAGTAAGTTATTGAGGATAGCCATGCATTTTTACTGAGAACACTTTCCTTTTGAAGCCAGTATTCTGTGTCTACCACTGATTGAACTTCTGAATTTTAAACACCTTGTCACTAACTTACTTCTAAAACTTTATTTAATATTGCAAAGCCATCACTCAAAAGGTGTTTAATACTTCTGTGTTTGCCAGACATTATTCACTTTCTCCTTTTTGCTCTTAGCACTCTTGTTCTTCCCCTCCGTTACTTTCTCTGCCATGTCTCTTAGCAGGGTAAAGTACTATTTGAGTTCTCCCTGTGCCTGGTGTGAAGCCTCTCTATGTCACCTCTTTGGTAACCATGAGGATGTCATGCTTGTCTCGATCTTTGTGACTGTGATTTCAGTTTTAAGTCTGCTTTTCTTAAATTCCATCAGTGGTATGTTCAGCTGAACGTAAGTCTTGAGTGGGCCTCTGGTTAGCACCCAAGGGGTCGCAGGTTTGGTCTGTGGGAGGGGAAGGGAGGTCCTGTCACGGCACACGGTGCTAAGGACTGACTTGGGCACCGAGAATTCAGAAAGCAATTCAGCTCAGGTTCATGGATTGGCTAACCTAGCTGAAACCATTGAATGTGATTTCTGATATATGGCCATATTTTACTATATGAACTCTCTAATATACGGCTGAAGCCTTTTTTGAATGTTGTGGCTCACATGGAGCTTTTGACCTTTCAGTTCTCTTTGTGAGGCTCCCTAGCAGCGGCAGGGGTTGTTCCGCGC